AACGGCCGTCCAATGTTTCCAGCTCTTCAGTGACGGTCTAGCTTAGATTGACTTATGAATGCAACTTTGGAAATTGAAAATAAATCAAAATAACGTTTGTTGTAAGCAAAATATATAGAAATGTAATGAAATTTAGTTTATTTTGTATTATTAATACAAGAATTATAAAATAATGATTACAAAACAATTAAATAATGTTGGAACAATTGGTGATATTTGATTAAAAGCAAATTAGGAAAAGACGATGGGAATGGATAGGACATACATTACGGAAATAATCAAACTGCATCACGAGGCAAATGTTTACATGGAATCCTGAATGGAAACGGGAAAGAGGAAGACCAGAGAACACATTACCTCGCTAATCGGAAGCACAGATGAAAAAGATAAATAGCAACTAGAACCAACTGGGAAGGATTTCTTAGGACAGAGTTGGTCGGTGAATGCTGGTGAACGGCTCATGCTTTTCGACGAGGGGTAACAGGCTGAAGTAAGTAAGTAATGCCGATAGTAAGATTAAACCGTTTAAGGTCTTAGTCACAACAATTAATCACTCTGAAAAGTTTTATTAAGAAAACACGTATGAATTCTTAAAATATCGGAGGACGCAAGTTACTCAATATATATATAATTAAATTGATACATATAAAAGAAGGCGCAAAAATCATTTCCACTCATCTTCATCGGTCGCATGAAAAACAATAATTGTAGATCCCATTCATTGAAAACTCTATAAGCTGTTTTATTATATTGACCACGAATCGTAGACGTATACACGGCGATTACTTATTCAAAGTTTGGGTGTCTCCTTCTTAATATACATAATGAATATCAAAATTGCTTTCACACAACTTGAAATCGATTACTAAATATCCTTCTTTCGAACTATTACCATTTTCACAGTTGGATTCATGAGTCGACCCAAGCTAGCCAACAGCTGAAAACCTGGATTCAATAGACAATCATTTTCTGCTAGCATGGGACTCTTCAGAAGTGCGCATCCCGATCCCGTACGTAGGGATCGAAACCAGGGTCTTTGATCTCGTGCGCAGATGCCTAAATTACAAACCACTTAGCCGGTATCCAACTCTGCCAATGTTTAACTCCAATCAACCGATGATCTTGCACAACACTTCTTCCATTGTCTGATCTGGATAACTGTCTCACATTTAACACGGACTGAACTTCACTGGACACGGCTTCTCACTAGAACTCTAGGAGTTCCCATTTTATAAGAAAAAAAACAACCATTATAAAAAGAACAATTCTATTTCTAGAAATTATCGTTAGATTCTACCATTGTAAGTACAAATTAACACTCGAAAATGAGAGAATTACGAAAGCCATTATCCAGAAGATACAAGTGTTTATTAACAGTTGTCTACGCAAAATACTTAGGATTTGTTGACCAGATACTATCAGTAACAACCTACTATGGGAGAGAACAAACCAGACTCCAGTTGAAGGAAGAAATCAGGAAGAAACGCCGGAAGTAAATAGGATACACATTAAAGAAAGCACCCAACTGCGTCACAGGATAAGCCTCCACATGGGATCCTCAAGGCCAAAGGAGGGGAGGAAGACCAAAGAACACATTACGCCGAGAAACGGAGACAGACGTGAGAAGAATGAATAACAATACGGCAGAACTAGAAAGGAAGGCCCAGGACATAGTGAGTTGGAGAATGCTAATTGGCGGTCTATGCTCCATTGGGAGTGACAGGCGTAAGTATGTAAGTGTGTAAGTAAGTAACTTACATCCCCATTGATCTAAACGACACATTTTCAGTATGTGATTACTTTTCTTATCATTGCTAATGTATTTCAAATACAATATCATTTGAACCTTTATATATGTTTTGCTTTTTCGAAATTTTACGCCACTTGTTTCAAGGTGGTACATCAATGTTTATGAAGTAGTTACACAAGATAATAAATTGAACTCAGTTCGATTATAAGTGTTGCTAAAGAACGCAAACTTTCATAGAAATTAATAATCAACTAAATATTGCTTTTAAATTATTACTATTATACTTGAATACAGTAAACAAATGTTTGCTGAATATCAAGTTTTAAAATATTGTATTGTTTGTTTGAATCTTCCAAATGATGTTTAAGACTTCAATGAATCAGTCTCTTATTAGCACATATGCATCCTGTGTAGATTGTCTCCATATTGCTTTCAGTCAAAATCATTTTAAGCAAATATGAATAATGGTTATCAGTAGAATCCAGGACGCTGGTTTTCTTCTGTTCGGGACTTGTCATATCATCAATGGGAAGATTCAAACAACCAATACAAAAATGATTTAAATCTTCCCATTGCACAGGCTAGTGACTTTCAGGATTTGGTAGGTAAGTGGATAAGTCGATGGCGTTTGAAGCAAATGGTACTGGGCTACAGAGTGAACATCAACTTTGGCATGCAAGTGCATCTAGTTGACGAGTCCGAATCAGGGTGAAACGCGCGTCCTGGATTCTACTGCCAGCCACCATTCATCTTTGCTTGTCTTACATTTAAATGAAAACCTTATTAGATAATCATTAGAATTGCTAGTGTAAGAAAATATATGAATAGATCTTCGTTAAAATTCTGCAAACTTAAATACTAGTATATTAAACCAAGCATCAGTTCGATTTTGATACTTATACGTATTCTACCTATAAGCAATCCTAACCCGTTAGTTGGATGAGAAGATAAAGACAGAATAAGAAGCTATATTGGCAATGGAATGAAAGATACATACTAACTCATTGATATATATGTTTGTCCAGTGGATAATTGAGCCAAATCTTTGACAGAAATGTTCATCCATGGACAACACTCATCTACCATTTGACTCTTCCCTAGCTTGTGAGCACAGTGATGTGATCTGACAGCATTGACCCAGATGATCCCCTATTTAATCTTAAAATTTGGTCTTAACAACTTGTTTAATAAAAAGCAGTGGCAAATATCATCTATTTCAAGACCTTTTTATTCCTATAAACTATATCCAACTACCGTATAAATCAGTATTGCTTCTGGAGTCTATATGCAAAGATTGAGGTAAGGGATATGTTAAGTTCTGATAAAACACATTTATAATAATGTAATTAGTAGAGCGTATTTCAATTCAGAAGATAATGAACAATTTTCAAGGGAAAACAATAAAGTCATGTGTATTCTAAATTCTTAAAGTAAATGGATATTAGGAGTATTTCATTAGTAGAATCTAAAACTATGGTAACTTGTTGAACAACAAAGAGATCTTTAAGTTATTTATCTTTAGTTTAAAACCATCCAGAAAAGCAATATATTGAAGATGATTGAAATATCAATTAAAGATTCAATATTACTGACTGAAATCATGAGTCAATTAAAGCTGGACCACCATGGAAAACCTGGAATCACTGGACGGCCGTCTCGTCCTAGCATGGGACTCCTCAGCAGTGCGCACCCACGATCCCGCACCCGGCGAGATTCGAACCCAGGACCTACTGGTTTCGAGCGCGAGCACTTAACCACTGGACCACTGCGCCTGCCGGCATCCAACGGTGTCAATGTCTAACTTCAACCAATCCATGAAGCTGCGCCACCGTACACCATTGTCTTCAGTGAGCTGATATCTCACAACAGACCTGGTTGAACTCAACTGGTAACGGCTTCTCACTAGAACTCCAGCAGTATCTTTTGAAGTCAGTCACTAGTGAGCAGACGATTTTATATCTCCACAAAATCCCTTCTGACTCAATATTAGTTAGATATTCCCTTGCAATTTAATTTAGATTATATGAAACTTCATTTCGGTAAAATCATTCAATGAATTGTTCGCTTTCAATGCACATGTTCATGAAGATATTTATAAGAGACCCCACCTTTTGTAAAAAGCTCCTAGTAGCAACTATTACTACTATCTATGGTAATATCTAATATATTTTTTTAGTAGATTATCTACTTGGTAATTCACACTCAACTTTATTGTTTGACCTACTTTAGTTGTATAGAATTGAATACCTGAGATTGTGATCATTAACTTGGAAGTTAAATAATTAGCGAGTAATATTTAGGATAAGCTCATACATGACTATATGCTACCAATGGTATAGTTACACTTTTGAATAGTTATTTGACTTAAATGTTGATTTATTTTGAGTATAGAATTCAGTAGTATATGATGAGGGAATTATATGTTATGTTCAACGTGTGTCTTGTTGGGGACGTTAGATCCCCAGAACTCACTTGGGAAAGGACCTAATATTGTAATTTTATTCTGAAATTTGAATTTCTTTGTTTTCGCGCCAAAAGAGCTCTTGTCACTTTCATGTCGTATTTCCCACTGGGAAATATCTTAAATGCTATTGGTCCGTTGCGTCTTTTAGTATGCTATTTGGCAATTCTCCCCAAGGACGGTTTTGTACTGTATATATACGTTTTGAATTGCGTTTGTTGTTATCGCTCGTTTCTAGATGTTTGCAGAATATACTTCCCCATTTCAAGCTTGGAGTTCTCCCTCTAGTTAGCGGGTCTGGGACGCATCAATAGCTAGGTTACTGGTCTCTGGTTATCAAGTCTTTGTTCTCGTTCGCAGATTAAGTGAACTCGTGATAGCTTCAACCCTAGTATGTCTAAATAAACTGACAACTGATGAAAGTTTGTCTTCTTTTTCACTTACATAGAATGACAGATACGTTTTAATTACATCATTGCTTAATCATAGATGATTTCATTCAAATATTGAGATGTGTATATACAAGCATCTACGCTATTAAAGACAATCTGAAGTTAGTCACATACACCAGGATCTGCATTCTCTACTTCACCGTCGATTTTATAGTCAGTGTAATATCGTTACTACTTTTTTTTAAATACTTTAAGACTAATGCATAGCTATAGTTGAATACATCTAAGTTACTAAGGTTTCAAGTCATTTATATTAAATCATCTCTTAATAAAGACTTACACTAGTAATCGATTACTGGAAATCAGTTATTGTTTTAGAAAAGAAAAAAAATGTTGTCTCTCTTTCAATAATGTTTAGATTTTCATTTAAAACATACAATATGGTTAATACACAGAACAGTGACATATTAAATGTTTTGGGTAATTTTTAGTTTTCACTGAATACAAATACATGTTTTTGTTATTATTCCTTGTAGCATATTTGAATTGGCAAATCCACTCCATGAACTGATAAGTGTAGGCCAGTTTGGTTTTGGTATTTGTTTTGATATGTCTGGTTTACGAGTTGGTATGGTTTCAGGATGTTTAGTAGTAATTGGACGTCTAGTAGTTTCAGGACGTTTAGTAGTTTTAGGACGTTTAGTAGTAATTGGACGTCTAGTAGTTCTAGGACGTTTAGTAGTAACTGGACGTCTAGTAGTTACAGCATAACATTGATCTTGTGATTTTGCTTCGTAAGGAAAACGACCTTCATAGTTTCCTCTAAAATACAAAATAATATACAATGAAATGTATCAATTGAATTTTTCTTTGAAACTTAATGAATAGAAACATCTTCATATTACTATTATAATACTTAGTAGAATAAAATTATAGTACAATAATTAGTATTAATTATTAATATTTATTTACCCTGGGCCATAATTACAGACAACTGATAATCCATATGGAAATCCATAATTTCCAGTACAATTTGTAATACCACAACCAACATGAGTAGTATTTTGCCATACTAACTAAAATTAATTTAAAAAATTTGAACTGATAATTTAAAGATAATTTGTTTATATAGACAATTATATATAAGTATCAGAAGGTGTTTTGTGGAGATTGTAGTAATTCAATTAGTTGAGATCATGAATCAATTGAAGGTAGACCACCATGGAAACTTGGAAGCACTGAACGGTGGTTTCGTTCTGTTGGAGGACCCCACCTCGCGGGGTGGAGTTTATCCTGGTCAGTTGTGAGATAGTAACTCACTGATGACAATGATGGATGTGTCGCTCATTTTCGTGGATTAGTTGAATTTAGACATTAACACCATTGGATGCTGACCCAGTGGTCTGGAGGTTAAGCACTCGCGCATGAGACTGATACGTCCTGGATTCAAATCTTGTGAGATGAGATCGTGGATGCGCACTGCTGGGGAGTCCCACAATAGGACGAAACGACTGTCCAGTGTTTTCAGGTTTTTCCATGCTGTTCTAGCTTCAATTGACTCATGATCTCAACTATTGAAATTACATATAACTTATATGAAATGTTAAATAAAGAACAACCAGTGAGAAAATAAACTTTGATATTGACAACAAATATATTTATCGTTGACGACGTCCCAACTCGTGTTAATGTAACTTTCGATAGAAATTAAATATATGGATAGATTTAACATTAAACATCTGTCTTTTATAATAATAATAATAAGGAAAACTTCAGCTGTATCTATTTAAGATCTAACTAGAACTGAGACAATGTCATTATCATGATCACTATAATACTAATCATTTACTTCATTAATTTCGGTGAATAAATGAATAAGATTTTAAGTGTAGTAAGACTCAAAGTGTTTTACAAGTAATAACTCTACATATAGTATGGTATCAGTCAGTTAGGCAGTAACAACATAGAAATTCGTACGTATGTACATCAGTTCGAGTTGCCATATTACACTAGCACACACATACAATTGTCGATTCAAATCCCATAGTGGTAGAGGTAGTAAGAGTATAAGCAGTAATCGGAAAGACTAGGGTTTGAAGATTTTATTTAAAGAATATAATTCAGTGAAATAAATCTGAAAAGAAAATAAGGGACATGAAGAATTCTGGAGATTAGAATTTGGGAGAACACAAAGATTGTATGCACCTGCATCATTGCAAACGATTTTGAGCCATGTCATTCAAGGTCTCTAACCATCGGTTGCTATCATCTCTTGGTCCCCAACCAGGTAGTCTACACCTACTAATATGACTCAGTCTACTTGTCAGTGACTTCATGGACTTGTGCCATGTTTTGGTTTGGCCGCCCCTAGTTTTCTTCCAACCTATTCCTATAACATTGAACATACCATAGTATAGTATAGTGGTTAATTAATATTACAGCAATCTCATTATCACTTTAGTAAAGTAAATATGAAGTTATTTCATAATAAAAATACCAAATAAAATGTATTACGTCATCATGAATGTTAGTTTATTTGTAATAATTTACTTGAGTATAATGTCCACAAACACCATAACAACTCATTGAATAATAACTATACTGTTTATATTCATCTTTCCATGCATCGAATGCTCTAAAATAAGATTAAGAGGAATTAAGAAAAGAATAGTAATAATGATAATGTTAGTTACTGTTCAATTGTTTGATATCCTGCTATATTTTGACCAACATATTCCCATTTATGCGGTAAATCCACATCATTATGATGAAAATAACATTCATTTGCTAAATCTTTAGCTTTTGAAGCTAGTTCATCATCCCATTTCTATTTTACATGTAACATATAATAGATGATGTAATATAAACTTACAAGATCTGGTAAATATTTCGCTGGAGGTTGTCCTTCAAATTTACATTCTGTTAAATTACGTCTAAGATCATTATGATATTGTAGAAGTTTTTGAAGTTGTGGATCATTTGGTTGTGAGAAGACAATGTTTACTTTTATATAAATTAATAATAATAATAATAAGATATTCATTTTATCTCTGAGAAGTATGGATAACAGACAATTTATAGAATCTTTTAGAGATAAAAAACAAAAAAAACAACCAAAAAAACACCACAACAACCGTACTGTTATGATGTGATTTGGCACATCATGCATTTTCATTTCAGCCTATGTATATGAAATGACAGTTCTCTTTCTATTAAAATGATTGTTTGTTCACTATAAGTAGAATAATTTATGTAGAGTTTTAGGTTGTGATTTTTTTGTGCAATCCATGTTCAAATCAAACATGTGGTTCCTTCAACGTAAAGTTTTTATCGTTTTAATTGAATTATTTAGTTTATTCATATAATTGTATAACTTATTTATTTATTTACACTTGTTACTCCTCGTCAAGGAGCATAAGCGGCCAACCATTATTCTCCATCCAACATTAAACTGGGGAATCTTTTCCAGTTGGTTTCAATTGTTATTTATCTTTCTGATGTCTGCTATGGTGGCGTAGAGAGATGAGACGGTGTTTGGAGGTAGTCAACAGGAAACCTTGGACCCAGGTCTTGTGCTACTTGTAATCTTGAAGGAACTGGTTCGATCCCGTGTTACCCAGCTTCACAGTCAGAGACCTTACCACTGAGCTATTCGGGCAGTGACCGACTTCCTGTAGGACGGAGATGTAATCACAATTGAGTGATCACTGGGTGGTGATCAATGTCATGTGTGTCAAGTCCTGGGTTCAGGGTTTTGCTGTTGACTAACTTCAACCACCATCTTATACCAACATAGTACACGTAGTCTCGAGTCACCTAGACTATTGGCCACATTGCAACTTGATCGAAGGCTTTCGATCTGCACTGACAAGGACTTGACACACATGACATTGATCACCACTCAGTGACCAATCAATTGTGGTGGTGGCCCAAAATTTCACTCTAAGTAGATCATTTGCTGCTTGTTATCAAGTTATCGAAATATACATTTCACCAATCCTTACAAATAATTATTGACTTAACTCGGCATAGTGTGCTATTTGATCTTCCTCTTATTTGTTTCCTTTCAAGATTCCAAGTTATCGCTTGACTCTTACGACGTATTTTCTTAATTTCCTTTTCAGCTGCCACCTGGTATTTTTAAAAGTTCAGATCTCATCTTTTGAAATAGTTTCCACCAACTGGATATTTATATTTTCTGTTTCTTTGACCTAGTTAATAACATTATCATAGCGTCTACAAATATTATCACTGAAAGAAGATCAGACTAGTTTTCAGCTCCATATGGATGAAGACTTAAGGCAATGTAAGAATCAATGATACTCTATCCATATTAGTTTTATTTGTTTATTTTCACCTCATAGACTGATTTTATTTACAAAACTAGTGGAACCCAACATGCACTACTTACCATTTTCGTTTCACTATGGGTACCTTAATGGTCATGATTTCATTTGGAATGGAATCTAGGACGTTAAGATAGTGCACTGGGCATTTAACCTTTAGATAAATGTGCTGTGTACCAACTATTCACATATTTGACTTCCGTTGATTTGAGATTTTGTATTCATCCAGTCTCAAATATATTTTGTCAGTAAATCTCCAAGATAATTCGAAATTATTTCCACATGGGTAATTTATTCAAAGTATCAGTCATTTATTATAGTTACAGCATAGCTAAATATCCTATGTATCCACAGTCTCATTGTTTTTAACACAAATAATATGGACAAGTGCATGAAACATTGATACATTCAATAATTTTATTTACCTTATCGTTCATCCTTTGCATCTTCTACATTATTTTTATCTATGTAGAATGTCACAATATTTGTCTACGATGCATATTGTTGACACTGTAATGTGCTTTGAATTCAGTTCTAGCTGGATGATTTTAATGGAGCTGTTGTTTACTTTTACATTTACTGATTGCTTGCTCAATCTTCCATCAACAAATACAGTTTAGTTAAGTAAATGAAATAAATAACTGTATTGGAACCTGATTCTTTCTCTCCTCATTGATCTGAAATGAATGAATTCTTAGTACACACATAACGATTGTCTATGTTCATTAGTGTTACAATACATCATTCTACATGTGAAGCTGTTCAATCTAACTCATTCTATGAAAATCACATCAACACAGTATTGCAATGGCACGTCTTCGTAATTTCCGATATTCTGTATTGAAAACTAAATCAAATAACATCTATCCTGGTGTAGTCTGCATTTGACCACTTTCCCGCCGCTGATCATTTGTTCATATCAAATTTTTCAGTAGTTGAGATCATGAGTCAATTGAAGCTAGACCTATATGAAAAAATTGTAAGCCCTGGAGTGCCGCTTTATCCCGTTGTGGAACTCCATAGCAGCACATATACACGACCCCACCTCACGGGATTCGGATGCATGGCCAGTCATAACCGAAAATCCATAATCTCACAAACAAAAATGTCATTAAATTTGACATAGACAGTAGGAGAATTTAGTTGAAATATATTGTATGCTAAGGATTTACTGTTGAATTACATGTTTAATATTGAATGAAGGGATTATTGTTACTAATTGCATTGATGAGCTGAATAAACGTGAATTCCAGTCAACACACAATACACAGTACACATACAAAGATGAAATAATCAACACATAATGAACGTATTCATTCAATGTATCATTCCAATGACACTTGCCAACATCGTTTCTCACTCACCACATGAATTACAGAACACAAAACAATATGATTTGAATGAAATATATTCAATTATAAGTTATAAGTTATGACTAATTGCTACACACATACATATAGTTGAGTAATATCAACACAAAATAGTCCTGAATATCAATGGAAGTAAGTAATGAGTATATATTGAGAGAAGGTTTTGGGTTACAGAAGTGAAAACACAGTTGAAAACAGATACGTGAAATAGATATGGAGGCACCAATTATATTTGCCGAATAAATTCAATCAATTTCTGTATCGTACTCTTCTATTATTATGCTGTCCTTGTACATAGGCAAGACCACTTCCACCAAGAACGTCCTTTGAAAACGTGTGTAGACCTTTCTTTCCAGATATCCATTTACGCTGTGTATTACGATGACGATATTCAAAAGTATTTATAGAGGTAGGCTGACCTTGTATGCGTTGGTCGTGAACCCTACTTCCACTTGAACCGGTCGTTGACAACTTGTGGTTGACATTCACTATTGATAATGGTGCACGCAGTGTATTATCACGCGCCTTTTGAAAACTGTCTTTACGAATATTCTGCATTTTCGGGCACAATTCACGTGATTTCACTTCATATGGTTTCTCATTATTCCAATTACCACTAAAACAGTCAACACAATATAAAACATCAGTTACATTCACTACGAGAACAACAACAAGGTGATTGCAAACAATACCACCTCTTCACACACCATCAAGAGCAATCACTTACCCTGGACTATAATTACACACGATTGATAGACTGTTCTTTGGACAACTCGCAACTCCACATCCAATGTCTGTGGTATTGGCCCAAACCATCTGAAACGGAATGTGAACAAGGAAATAAGGTGATCGTTCGGTAGGCCAATTGCAAGGCATTTCCACTATACTTCAACCTGATGTGAGTAAATACATTACTTGTAGATGATACAGATAATGTTGTCAACTGAAGGAGATACATGTGGAAATTCCAGAATGTGTTGTATGAGTAAGTTTACACATGGTGCAGTTATGATAACTAGTTGAACTAGTTGACACTAGTGTTGACACATTGATTAGGATTTGAATGCACTCGTCAGTCCTAGTACATGCTGGTCAGAGACAAATTTCCTATCTGTTGTTTTCCACCGAATCACCTCAACTCTCAACAAAACACACATACTCAAATATGATCAAGTGTTGTGGATACCTGTGTGCATAACTGTAATGATCGGATTACGTGTATTTACATGTGTTTTTCAGTCACTTCTGTAGAAAAGTGAAACCACTTGATTGTTATCACACATTCGTGGTGCATTATAATAGGTGTGAATGGTGAGTGACAAATGACTGTGTGTATGTTGAACTATGTTGAAGTGGATGAGAATGGACTTACTTGTGTGTAATGCATACATTTCATACAGTTGTTTTCTTTGTAGTCGTATAGTTTGTGCTCATTGAACCAAGCATCTACTCCTCTGAATCAGAAAACAGTGAATTGAATAGAAATGAGCTTACGACTTAATGGTTGGACAGAGAGCAATATTTTGTCCAACCCAAGAGAATTCATCCAAATGACGTTTGTCGTGTTGCAAGGTGCATTTGATCGCCAATGTTTGTGCTTGTGCAGCCAGATTGTAATTCCATTTCTACAAATAAGCGTTACGTATATTATTTGAAGAAATTATTGAATAGTGAGTGATTTACCAATGGTGACATATATTTAGCTGGAGGTTGTCCATCAACTTTACAATCAACTAAATCCTGTCTGTATTTTCTATGCAGTTCGAGTATTTCGAGACTGTTTTTATCAAGCTTTCTGTTGGTGTTCACGCAGTAGACATAATTGATGAGAATGTATATTATCAGTATGTTAAACATTTACTTTCTTTTAGTATGTTGTTGCAATGATTTTGAGTAATGATTTCAATGCCTTTTTATTTGCGTTTGTGTGAATTATCGGAGTTCATCCATTCTTCTATTTGTTCATGTTTTGTTTATCTTCATCTTCTAAACTGTATTATCTCAGTTTTCTCATTGAAAATACTACGTGTTCTTCTAATTGTTATTCTCTTATATGTTTAATAGTACAAATTTGCCTAAGTATGAATCTTTTAATTAAGTAGTATAACAGTATAGTTATTTTGATTATGTTATATGTTGCCTTAATGATAGATAGTAATAAGGTGTGTTTTCTTCACTTGTACATACACATGTTAAGCAACTTGTTTTGACATTACTTAGGTACTAGACTGGCATATTAAGAACTAAACTGTATACATACATCCTTACTTACTTACCTATTTCCGCCTGTTACTCCTCGTGAAGGAGCATAGGGCGCTCACCAGCATTCTCCATCCAACCTTGTTTTGGGCAATCCTTGCCAGCTCTTCCCAGTTCTTATTCATCTTTTGCATATCTGCTTTCATTTCCACACGTAATGTGTTTTTGGCCTCCCTCTTTTCCGCTTTCCTTAAGGATTCCAAGTTAGGGCTTGCTTAGTGATGCAGTTTGATGATTTGCGTAATATATGTCCTGTAGTCCGTCGTATGAGTTCCGGATAATATTGACAATCTTCTCAGAAACTCCGTAGTGTCGAAGAAGTTTCCATAATGTCTTCCTATCTACACTGTCGAATGCCTTTTCATAATCAATGAAGTTGATGTATAGTGATGAGTTCCACTCAACTGATTGTTTGACGATGATCCGTAGTGTTGCAGTTTGGTCTGTGCACGACCGATCCTTACGGAATCCAGCTTGTTGATCTCAAAGTTAGGCGTCCACTGCATCCTTCATCCGGTTCAGCAACACTCTATTGAAGACTTTCCCTGGTATTGACAGCAGTGTAATGTCTCTGTAGTTCTCACATTTGCTCAGATCTCCTTCCTTTGGAATCTTGATGAGGTGTCCTTCTTTCCAGACCATCGGCACTTGTTCCTCCTCCCAAATCTTTTTGAATAGAAGGTGAAGCATACTTGTAGTTAATTCGATGTCTGACTTCAGTGCTTCAGCTGGCATGTTGTCCGGTCCCGCTGCTTTCCCGGTCTTGATTTGTCTGATGGCCATTCTAATTTCTTCCGTCGTTCGTGGATTGACATCTATATTAAGATCTATGTGTGCTGCTTCGATGTTCGGTGGATTCATTGGAGCCGGTCTATTCAGGAGCTCTTCGAAGTATTCTATCCATCTGTTCCGCTGTTGTTGAATTTCAGTGATTGGCTTGCCTTCTTTGTCTTTGACCGGTCTCTCTGGTTTACTGTATTTCCCTGCTAGTTTCTTCATTGTATCGTGAAGCTGTTTCGTATTTCCTTCTCTAGCAGCTTTTTCCGCCGTCGTTACTAGTTCTTCCATGTATTTCTTCTTGTCGGCTCTACCGCTCTTCTTCACTTGCTTAGTTGCTTCTATGTAGTCAGCTTGTGTTTGAACTTTCTCTGCTCGTGTTCGGCTGTTGTTAATTGCTGCCTTCTTGTTCTTCCTTTCTTTGATCTTGTCCAGTGTTTCCATAGAGATCCATTCCTTATGGTGATGCTTGTTTAGGCCCAGAACCTATTGACACGTTGAAGTCAATGCTTCTTTGATGTCTTCCCAGTTGTCCTCCATAGTAGTTTCTTCTTCTTTCAGTAGATCTTGTAAGGCTTGGAACCTGTTGTTGAGAGCTATCTTGAATTCATTGAGTTTGTCAGTATCTCGAAGGAAGGCTGTATTGAACCTTTGTATTGCTGTTTGTCCAGTTGTCCAGTTCTTTTTTAGCTTCAGTTTTAAATTGGCTACAACTAGGTGGTGATCTGAAACTATGTCAGCTACTCTCCTGGTTCTCACATCTTCCATTGCCCTTCGGAATTTTTGGTTGATGCAAATATGGTCTATCTGGTTCTATGTAGTGTGGTCCGGTGAGATCCATGTAGTCTTGTGTATACGCTTGTGTGGAAATATTATGCCTCCTATGACCAATTTGTTGAATGCACATAGATTTGCGAATCTCCCCCCATTTTCGTTTCTCTCACCCAGTCCATGTCGTCCCATGATATCTTCATATCCGATGTTGTCTATTCCGACTTCGGCATTTAGATCTCCCGTTAGAATGGTTAGGTCCTTTCTTGGGCATTTCTCTATGATTGACTGCAGCCGCTTGTAGAATTGATCATTAATTTCGTCGTTGCTATCATTGGTGGGTGCATAACATTGGATAATATTCATTGTGATCCCCTCCTTCTTTGTTTTGAATGATGCTTTGATGATTCTGGATCCGTGAGATTCCCATCCTACAAGTGCATTTCGTGCTACTTGGGACAGCATTACAGCGACTCCCTGAGTGTGTGGAGCATTTTCCTCTTCGTGACTGGAGTATAGCAGCGTCTCTCCCGTAGCTAGCCTTTTCTGTCCAGCTTGGGTCCAGTGGATTTTGCTGATTCCCAGTACTGCTAAGTTGTATCTCCTCATTTCGTTGCTATTTGACTGGTCTTTCCGATCTCCCACATTGTTCAAACGTTCCATGTACCTATAAAAATGTTTGCTCAGGTTGTTAAAAAGGGCATCCGTCTCGCTGCTTTCGAAGGAAATCGGCTTTCACCATGAAGCGTCATAATTCTTCTAAATGAAGACCTTCTAACTCTCAGGGCAGAGTTTAAATGGTTTGAACTATTTTTTCTAGTAAGCGTTTTTTAGCGAGTTAGTTTTCTACGGGATGGGGACGCTAACCCCATGCCCAACCCTCTTCCCCCTTACCCGGGCTTGGGACCGGCAGCACCTCTAGAAGAGCTACAGGAGGAGTTATACATACATCCTGATATCTTCTAACAATCTTTAAGATTATTTCTTTCAGTTTATTAAGGGTTGTGGAGATGATTAGGTTTTTGATGGAAATCATGAGTCAATTGAAGCTAGATGACCATGGAAAACCTGGCAGCACCGGATAGCCGTTTCGTCCTAGTATGGGACTCCTCAACAATGTGCATCCACGATCCTGCCATCCGCGAGATTCGTATCCAGGACCTACCAGTCTCCCGTGGATTGGTTGACCATAGACATTACCACAATTGGATGCCGGCTCAGTAGTACAGTTGGTTAAGCGCCTGGCGCGGGACTGATGGATCGATGTGTTCGAGTATCGCGTGGTGCGGGATCGTGTATGCGCACTGTCGAGAAGTCCCATACTAGGGCGAAATGGCCGTCCAGTGCTTCCAGATTTTCCATGTTGGTCTAGCTTCAATTGACTCATGATTTCACTTAATTCTTTCGTTGAATTAACATACAATTAAATGTATTTACTCTCAAACAGTAGATTATTATATCAGGTTTAAAAAGAGTACACTTTTAAACATACTACTAGTTTGAATAGCTACTTATAATAAATATATAAGTTAGCCACTGATTTATTAAGGTTTTATATTTTCTCTATGTTGATAATAACAGCTTTAGATGAACAATCTCTTTTATTAAATGGATATTTTGAACAAATTGCTAATCAATATCTGTCTATCGAATTATAATGTTTTTCATCAGTCTAAATGATTGAACATCTAGTACACATAATGTTTTGTTTTTATTTGGTTCAAGATAGTCGTCAGGAAATTCTTCTTCATTTACGTTTCACGCTATTTGACACTCGTGTGCAAGAGATCAGTTCAATATTAATGAAACGGGTATAACTTGAGTCATTTACACATGGGTCCAATCTAAGAATAACATTGGTTACTACTCAGTGATCAATCGATTATAACTATACTAACAATATTTTTGTAAGCAATTATAGGGAGTATCTAGTAGTGGAATCCAGGAAGCGCGTTCCGTCCTACCTGGGACTCGTCAGCCGGATATATCTGCATCTGAGTTGATGTCCACTCTGAGACTCGAACCCAGTACCGTTCGCTTCAAACGCCATCACGTTATCCACTCAGCTACTGATTCCTGATAGCCACTTGTTTGTGCAATGGGGTGAATTTAACTTCACTTGATATTGTTTTTGCTTGTATCTTCCGATTGAGGTTTAAGACTGCAATTGATCAGTCTATTATTGGCATATGTGCATCATTGCTTACAAAAATCTTGTGAATTAAGGCAATATCGAGGCATACACACATTATGCACATATGCCAATAACAGACTGACCGATTGCAGTGTTAAATCTCAATGGGAAGATACAAGCCAAAACAATATCAAGTGAATTTATACTAACAATACATACAAAATAAAATTTAAAATCTTATGGGAACATTGCAAAAGTATATTCCTTTGTTCATATTTTAGATTATAGAAAATTACTTGTTCTTCACAATTCTCTCAATAGATTACCAATACGTTCACACGCAAGGTTTTCTCTCATTACTGTGAAAGTTTCATTGAGTATGTGTTGTTATGGTCATCAAAATATGCGGGAATATAAAGTACATTTATTTTTTGTAAAAAATAAATCTTGTTGATACTTCAATTATTTTTTTAGGTGCTAATCACGGGGTGTGACTTCGAAGTTATCTGTTCCCGTCAAACTTCAGTAGGCCCTCCAATCATTTGACATAGATCATCTACGTTGGTGATCTACAACTTCTATTTGCCTCATTTATGTGAGTATCCTTTCATCCTTCCATTAATCCTACTGAAATAATTATATTTTCCTGCTTATTATATACAGAATAATAAAGATCGAATTCTCAATTCAGTAGACAACCTACAAATAGTCTTCAGTTGATATTTTCATAATATTAGACACAATTTAATAATGT